GTACATCCGCGAGCGGATGCTGCCCGCCTGCTTCGGCGCGCTCTCGCAGCCCCACTTCCGGCTCGCCGACGCCGCGGCGCTGCAGCTGCTCGAGGCGGTCGCGGCGCTGCAGGTTGCGATGCTGGCCAAGCTCGGCCAAGAGTGAGAATTGCCAGAATGACAAATCAATATCAGTCAAACTGGCAACTGTGCAGGTTGCGATGCTGGCCAAGCTCGGCCGTCCCTTTGCGGCGCACTTGCACGACGTCTACCTGCCGCAGCAGCTGCAGTGCTCGCCCGCCTTTTGCGACGAGTACGCCGCCCTGCTCGCCGCCGGGGAGCCGCGCGCGCTGCGCGACTTCCTCCGCTCGCACCTGCTGGCGGCGGGCGGAGGGAAGTCATAGCGGGTTGGCTGCCGGGCGGGAGAGGGTGGCGGTGAAGGAAGAGCTCCTCGCCCCCCCCCTTCCCCCTCCCCCTGGGGGGCCGGGAGCCCCCCCCCCCCCCCCCACCCACCTCTTTGCACACACACACACACCCCTTCGTAGCTACCCCTACCAGCGCCCTCCGCATACCGCCTCTCTGCGCATGCCCCCGCCCCGCGGGAGGACGGCACGGCGGCGGTCGCGACGCGCCGCCGCCGCTCACTCCGCTTGCCATCGTCGGAGAGAGTTCAGCGAGGCAACAAGGACAGAGTGAATCGTGTGTAAGCCTGTCGTCGATCGGTGGGTTGTACGAGTGTCACACTCAAAGGTTATCGGAACAGAAATTTGGTGGCACTTGCGGAGCCGACATTTGTGGAGTGCACAGTCATTTTCTCCTCACTGCTCACGGGCTGCAGTCACGCGGCATCCGTCATCCGACTAGGTCCAGCCCTGGGTGAGCCAGATCTGACGTTTTGTGACATCGCGTCAGATCCGTGTTTTTTTCGTCTTGCGGTACATCTCTCCGCTCGCCACCTCACGCTCCGCCGTCCGGCCATGGAGATGGTTCGATGGAGCTCGCCGAGCTCCATCGAACCATCCATGATCCAACTCCGGTCACCGGGTCTGAACGCGCTCAGCCTCAGGAGGGACAAAGCCACGCGAATTCTGCACGCCTCGCTGCACCGCTGGCTTGACTGAATCAGGCAGCAGTCTGCTGCGGCCCCAATACGCAAGTTAAAGACCAGCATTGCTGCCGGGAGCAGGCGCACATCGCTTCCAGGGAGGGGGGCGCGCTTCTCTCCACACCACATGCTAGGGGGGGGGTCCGACCCCCCCCAGCACCTTCACCACATGCTAGGGGGGGGGTCCCGACCCCCCCAGCACCTTCACCACATGCTAGGGGGGGGGTCATGGACGAGGACCCCCCAGAGACTCGTGGTCAGGCCCTCCGGGCCCTTGATTTTACACCTCATTTCGCAGCATTTTCCAGGGGAAGATCATCCTTTGGAGCTACATGAGCCTTGAGACTGGTCAGATTCTCCAAGATATTGGACTTTCAGCCACGATTTCACAACTTTGGGGCAAAATCGGCTCTCTGGCGGCTATTCCTAGCCCACGAACTGCTGGGGGGTGCCCACCACATGCTAGGGGGGGGGGGGGGCCCAACCCCCCAGAGGGTTTTCCTCATAACTGGGGGGGGGTCCCGACCCCCCCAGAGGCTTCACCACATGCTAGGGGGGGGGTGGGGCGTGGAGAGAAGCGCGCCCCCCTCCCTGGAAGCGATGTGCGCCTGCTCCGGGGGCATTCGAGCCGCCACAGCCGGTGTGCGGCTGTGCACTGCCACCTGCCCGCGGCTACGCACATGTGCGCTCGCATTGTATATGAGCCCTGCTGATGGACCTGTGTCGCCTGCATTGGGTGGAAGCCACGGGGAGTAGCTTCCTGGCTGGAACAGCGTCATCTCAACTCCCATCAGCTTGGCACATTACGATCAGTCCCGGCGAGGAAGCGTCAATCGAGAAGGATAACAGAAGCGAAAACGCGGCCATTCTGAGGTGACCTTTTTTGGGAGTTCCCTTGTACTGCGCGATTTCTTCTTCCTCGCGATGAAAAACGCCGCGCCGCCGCTCGCGCCGCCTCGCCGCCGCCTCCACCGCCGCGCCTCGCCAGACGCGCCGCCGCCCGCCCGCCTCCTCGACCTCCCCAGGGAGCTCGTCGAGCGCGCCCTCTCCCGCTGCGACAGCCCCGTCGACATCGCTCGCGTCGCGGCCGTCTCGCTTCTCTTTCACGCCTTGCTCGCGGAGGAGGCCATCCGCTTGTGGGCGCAAGAGCGCGGCTTCGAGCTGCCAGCGCAGCCGGAGGACGAGAGCTGCGTCGTGCGGTGGCTGTGCTTCGCTGCGCTGCTGCGCGAGTCGAACCCGCCGGCGAGGGCAGCGGCAGGCCTGCTATTCACTTCGTACACCCCATACGACACTACCGGTCGCGGTACGAACCTATCCCCCACCCACTTATTCGGCGTGTCTTTCCCTCCATCCGTCGCAGCGAGGTGCGTGAATGGCCGCGCTCTGTGCAGCGCGAGGCATATCCTGGCCACCTCCGCGTTGAGCTCACGGCCCTTCCCTGAGCCGAGCGGCCCTTTATCCTTGCCCATCATGACCTGCGTCCCGTTTCTGTCGGGCAGCGCCCGTGTCCCGACCTCAAACTCGTCCCACCGCAGTAGGAAGCGCGTGCCGCCATCCTGCACTCGGGACTGGAACTTCTTTTTGCTGCAGTTGTAGGTCACGCTCTTGTAACCAGTCGTGTTCCTCTTGTCTATGGCTGGGATCAGCCCGAGGCGCTCAGTCGCTGTGGCCCGCGACGAGTTCGCGCGAGCCATCGAGCCATCAAGCTCCTCACAAAAAATAAAAAAGAAAAGGCTGGACGCTCTTAACATCCCTGTGTGGTGGCGGCGTGCCGTTCTCCCATCCCTCCCTTGGGTTGTCTGTTTTCTTTCTTTTGTTTTTCACGCTGTCTGGACGCTCTTAAAATCCCTGTGTGGTGGCGGCGTGCCGTTCTCCCATCCCTCCCTTGGGTTGTCTCTCTTCTTTCTTTTTTTTAGGCCGCCGGCCGAGACGAAAGCGGTCAACTGGAGTGGCAGCGCAGGCGATGATTTCGCCGGTGCTGCAGGACTCTCGGCCACGCTGCGGATGCTCGCGTTCGCGCACGCACGCGCCACGCGGGTAGTACCGTACTGACGCGGGTGCCTAGATACCTTAGTACTGAGACGTGTTAATAAAGCCGTAAACTGTGTGAGACGTGGGTAAGCCGAGGTGGCGCCGTGTGCCGAGGTGAGATCTGAGGTGGCCATACACACAGGTGTTGCATTTTTGAAACAACCCGTAGTCGACCGTCACGCACGCGTGTTCTAGCTCTGAGACTCTGCCGGACCGAACGTGCAAGGCCGACCCCTTGGCTTACATCCCAGGATCCGCGCTACTACATTTCGGCTGAAGACTCCTGCATTGGCTCCTCGCCCTCCTCCTCCTCCTCCTGCCCCCCTTCCTCCTCCTCCTCCTCCTCCTCGTCCGACGACGAGTCTTCGAGCGCCTAATCTCGAGCAATCTCGGGTGATCACGGGCCGCAGCTCGCTCGCTCCTCCTCCAAACGCCCCCGCCACAGCGCCTTGATGGGCCTGATCGTGTATCTCCCCGTATCTCCCCATATCTCCCCGTATCTCCCCATATCTCGCGCCCTGATGCGCTTGATCGGCTTCATCCGCTCCTCGTCGCCTATCTCACCAAATCTCGAGTGATCTCGAGGGATTGCGCTCGACCGGCCTCCTCCGCTCCTCGTCGCCGTCGTCGTACTTGACGTCTGCCCACTGGCCCACGTCGTCGCGATACACCTGCCGCGAGACGCGCGGAGGCGTGTGGCCGAGGCGCAGCCGAGAGACCACTTTGCCGTCACGGCATCGCCTGCAGCACGGTCGCACGAAACCAAAGCTCGTCGTCGTCGACGCCTGGTGAACTCACCACTGATGGATCAGCTGACTGATGCTGTCGCGAGCGATGCAGCGCCGGCCGTCAAGATCGCCGAACTGCGCGAAGCAGCGGCGGCCCGGCACGCAACGCACTGAAGAGGACCAGAGGACGGTGCCTTGATCACGACAGATGAAGTGTCAGTCGCCAAAGACTCATTAGGGCCGGTGAGGACGAGAGGACACGGTGCCGCGCGGGTTCGTCGTCCCGTTTGCATCGTCCTCCTCCTCCTCCTCCTCGCCGCCCGCTCCTCGCTCGAGCAACGCGTGCGCCTCCCGCGCCGCCGCCAGCCTCCCCTCCGCCACCTGCATGGGCGTGTCGTGGGCGTGTCGTGGACGTGTCGTGGGCGTGTCGTGGGCGTGTTGTGGGCGTGTCGTGGGTGTGTCGTGGGCGTGTCGTGGACGTGTTGTGGGCGTGTCGTGGACGTGTCGTGGCGCCCTCCCCTCCGCCGCACCTGCAGCCCCTCCTCTGCCTCCCGACAGCGCCGCCTCGCCGCCTTGACCTCCCTCTCCGCGCGCGCGAGCGCCGCCGCGCTCTCCGCCCGCTCCTCCTCCGCCGCGCCCCTCGCCGCCTCCCTCGCCGCCCGCTTCTCCGCCAGCTTCTGCTGCTCCGCCGCGCGCGGGTTCGCTCTCTCCTCGTCGGCGAAAGCGGGCGCCGTCCGCTGCCGCTTTGAGACGCGAGGCGCGCTCCCCACCCGCGCCGCCTCGGCGAAGAAGTCTTGGACAGCCTGAGGCAGTCGATCAGCGTATTCACTACTGATTACGTTGTCCCTCGGCCACATCTCGGCTACATCTCGGCCACCTCTCGGCTACCTCTCGGCCACCTCTCGGCGACCTCTCGGCCACCTCTCGGCTACCTCTCGGCCACCTCTCGGCGACCTCTCGGCCACCTCTCGGCTACCTCTCGGCCACCTCTCGGCTACCTCTCGGCCACCTCTCGGCGACCTCTCGGCCACCTCTCGGCTACCTCTCGGCCACCTCTCGGCTACCTCTCGGCCACCTCTCGGCTACCTCTCGGCGACTTCTCGGCTCGCGTGTCTGCGGCGTTGCCTTCTCGCTGTAGCGCAGCCCGCTCCAGTGCGGCGCGTTGTGTGCGAGCACGCTACGCAGCGTCGGCTCAACGCTCGGGGCGAGTAGCGTGGGGGAGGTCGCCGGCGGCGCGGAGCCGAGCAGCACTCGCAGTACGGCCTCGCAGCACTCGCACGTCACACGCGAGTTATACCTGCAGAGCGAGCAGCCAGTCGTTGACTCAGGGAGGCGCTCCTTCGCACTCGCACGCCACACGCGCGAGTTGTCCCTGCAGAAGCGCGCATCAGCCAGGTGGCTGGGCCAGTGGCGGAATACCGAGTCAGCGAGAAGTGGTTCTTCCTCACACGCGGCTCTCGCCCACCCTCGACGTCATCCCGGTGAATCCCGGCGAATCTCGTCAAATCTCGGCGAATCTCGTCGAATCTCGGCGAATCTCCGCGAGTCTCACCCTCCCTCGAGGGCGGCGGCGACGGGGCAGTCGACGGCACTGAGCAGCAGCTGCGTCATCTGGGCGAACCCCGCGGCCGTCACCTTCATCTTGCCTTGCGCGTCCCCGTCGGCGGCGTCGAAGCCGGCAGACAGGAGCAGCAAGTCGGGCGAGAATTGCGCCAGCACCTTGTGGCCCATGCTCTAAGAGTGAGGCGCTCTCTTCAGGCACGCTCACACATTGCTTTGGGAGGGGGGGTGGGGGGGGGGGGGGGGACGCAAGCCACTTTTCAAAGCACGAGGCTGCTATTATTAGTGTTATTATTATTACTATTCTGATTATTATCATGACCATTCTTGTTTATTCCCCCCCACGCTGCTATTGTTGTTATTCTTCTTATTATTACCGGGCACAGCACGAGGCGAAACGCGGCGAGGTAGTCGGAGTCTGCCAGTCCATCGCTCGTCCACGGCACGTTAAGGTTCCGTCCCTGCCCGCCGCCGCCGCCGGTCTCGCACGCAGCACCGGTCTCGGGGTACCACCGCTCGCCTGTTCACAGCCTGCAGGTGTGAAGAGACGCTGTTCACAGCGCCGGTCTCGGGGTACCACCGCTCGCCTGTTCGCAGCCTGCAGGTGTGAAGAGACGCTGTTCACAGCGCCGGTCTCGGGGTACCACCGCTCGCCTGTTCACAGCCTGCAGGTGTGAAGAGACGCTGTTCACAGCGCCGGTCTCGGGGTACCACCGCTCGCCTGTTCACAGCCTGCAGGTGTGAAGAGACGCTGTTCACAGCGCCGGTCTCGGGGTACCACCGCTCGCCTGTTCACAGCCTGCAGGTGTGAAGAGACGCTGTTCACAGCGCCGGTCTCGGGGTACCACCGCTCGCCTGTTCACAGCCTGCAGGTGTGAAGAGACGCTGTTCACAGCGCCGGTCTCGGGGTACCACCGCTCGCCTGTTCACAGCCTGCAGGTGTGAAGAGACGCTGTTCACAGCGCCGGTCTCGGGGTACCACCGCTCGCCTGTTCACAGCCTGTAGGTGTGAAGAGACGCTGTTCACAGCGCCGGTCTCGGGGTACCACCGCTCGCCTGTTCACAGCCTGCAGGTGTGAAGAGACGCTGTTCACAGCGCCGGTCTCGGGGGACCACCGCTCGCCTGTTCACAGCCTGCAGGTGTGAAGAGACGCTGTTCACAGCGCCGGTCAAGGGGTACCACCGCTCGCCTGTTCACAGCCTGCAGGTGTGAAGAGACGCTGTTCACAGCGCCGGTCTCGGGGGACCACCGCTCGCCTGTTCACAGCCTGTAGGTGTGAAGAGACGCTGTTCACAGCGCCGGTCTCGGGGTACCACCGCTCGACCGAAGCGGTGCAGGGAGATGTAGAGGCAGCGACCTGCGTGCTGGAGACGCCGACATGAGGGCGGGGAGACGGTCTTGCGCAGTGTGTGTTCAGAGCACCGCGTGTAGACAACGGATGGGAGTACAGTGAGAACACAGCGGAACACAGCGGAACACAGCGGCGGAGGACGTGTCCTACCGAGTGCTGGGTGGGGTACATGAAGACGTAGTCGGCTTCTAGAGGCAGCGGCCCTCCTCGTAGAAGAGGCTCTGCGTGCCGTTACCTATTCACAGCAGTGGGTGTGAAGAGACGCTGTTCACACCCCTCCGGGCGGGGCTCTGCGCCCCAGAAGAGAAGAGAAGAGAAGAGAAGAGCGTGCTGCTGCTTGCGAGGCACCGACGGCAGCTATCTCCCCATATCTCCCCATATCTCCCCGTTTCCCCGATAGGTTACCGTGGTGGACATCCCAATCGAGGATGGCAACCTATTCACAGCAGTGGGTGTGAAGAGACGCTGTTCACACCTTACCGTGGCGGACATCCCAATCGAGGATGGCAACCTTCTTCGCGTCGCCGGAGGCGAGAACGACCCCTGCCGCCACCGCCACCGAGTTGTAGAAGCAGAAGCCCTCGGCGTGGTGGCCGTCGGTCGGGTCAGCGCCCGCGTGGTGCCCTGGAGGCCGCACAATGGCAAAGGCGGGCGGCGCGCGGCGTCGAGCCTTGTCGCCGGGCGATGCGCGGGTGGCGGTGGCATTCTTCGAGTCCTGCAGCACGCCCACCGCCGCGTCGATCACGCAGCCGCAGGCCAGCCGCGCGGCCGCGTCGGCGTGCCCCGAGTAGTAGACGCCTCCCGGCCCGTCAGGCTCGCACAGCTCACGGTTCGTCGGGTCGGCGCGGGCGGCGGCTGTCATGCGACCGACCTCGTCGATGTGGCGCTGCGTGTGGACGGTGCGCAGCTCCTCGTCCGACGCGCTGTGGCCCGGGAGTACTTGCACCGAGCCGAGCAGCCCGGCGCGGTCCAAGTGCTCGTAGACGTCGCTGGCGCGGGTTCGCTTTTCGACATGAGCCCACGGGTGCGTGTGGGTCGACATCTCGGGGTTGTAGTAGAGCTTGGGCTTCGCGCCGCGGGGCATGGCGCGGCACAATTTTGAGGAGCACGAGCCGTGAGAAGAACCCGCGCACGGTGGCAACAGGAGCCACAGCGACGATGCACAACAGGCCCCCGTGATTTGGCAGCGAAACCTCGAGACCGTTTCGTTAGTCCGGACGCGACCCACTTCGCCACAGACGGTCCCGCGCCTCGCCGCTATGACCGCTGCACGGCCCATACCGTCCGCTGTGCAGCGGTCTTTGTCCGGAGTGAAAAGTCCAACGCACTTTCGTCGGTGACGGTGTCCTCCAACCTGCGCCGCGCTCGGCGAACCTCGACAGCGCCTTCGGTGGCATGCATCTCTTTGCGCCTGAAGCCTGGAAAGCAGCTCCTCTGCTGCTCACACGCTCTGCACACAGATGGCACAGCCTACTATGCGGCCGCCACAGCTGTGACAGCGATGGGCTCGCCCTCACTGTCCCTCAGTCACTTGTGCTGCGGCTTGTGCGGGCTTGTGTGAAGCGCTGAGCGATACTGATTTACTGTGCTCGGCGACTCTCTGCCGGCACACTGTGAGACCATGGGTGTGAGGTAAAACCACGGTACCAGCGCTTGGCCACATTGGCCCTGAGGTCAGATCCTTCATGTCTACTCTGTTGATGACAAGACTTTTTGGCCTGTACGAGGGTTTCCTCTCGCACCCTACCTGGTTTCCTTTCCGTGTTTCCTGCTCGTTTCCCTACAACACCCTCTAGTTTCCTCGGGAAACCCCGGGGAAACTCCGTGGAATTCGTCATTTTGGGGGGGCTCTGAGCCGTGTCTGAGGCTGTTTTGGGGCCAAAATCGGCAAAATACCGGGTATTTTGCGGGTATACCTGGAAAACCCCGGTATACCTGGAAAATACCTGGGTATCGTGCCGATTTCCTCAATTTTGCCCCAGATTTTGCCCCAGACCAGCTCTCAGACTCAGGGAAACTCGCGAGTTTCCCGAGGGAAACTCGAGAGAAACAGAATGGAGCACCAAACACCCTCTGGTTTCCCTGGAAACTTCCGGAAACGCAAAGTGCTGGGGACCCTCTGGTTTCCCTCTGGGTTGCCGGAAACCCTCGTACAGGCCAAAAGACTTTCTACTCGCTGGAGCCGAGAGAGAGAGAGAGCGAAACCGCCAATGGCCGTTATCCGTTAGTGCGGACGTCGCCGCGGCTCGCCTCTGCCGCGGCGGCTGCTGCGCGCACGCGGCGGCGCCGCTCTCTCGCGAGACGGCTGGCGAAGCGGCTCGCCGACGACGTACGGTGCGCTCGTCCGACGGTCCGCAGCGTGGCGTGCGCGGCGTTGAGCGCCGCTCTGCGAGCGCCTCTGCGCCTGCACTGCCTGTCTCTGTTGCTGGTGGTGGTGGTGGTGCTGCTGCTGCTGGTGCCGATGCTGCTGCTGGCGAGGCGCGGCTGTGCGACTGGGCTCGACGCGCGCGTCGCGAGCGTCTGACGCGGCGGGCGGCGTCGGGCAGGTGCGCTTCTCTCTCGGGTGGTGGTGGTGGTGCTGCTGCTGCTGCTGGTGGTGCAGATGCTGCTGCTGGTGCGGCGCGGCTCTCCGACGCGACTCGATGCGCGCGTCGTGGCTATCTGACGCGGCGGGCGGCGTCGCGGGCGGCAGAGGTGGCGGCTCGCGGGTGGAGGTGGAGGCTGGTGGCTGTGGTGGACTTTGAGTTTGTTTCATGGTCGAGTACGGGGACCGGGGGGTCAACCGGGAGGCAGGGGGCCAACCAGGCGACGGAGGACCGTGGGCCATCGCGGGGACCAGCTTGTCCGGAGGGCGGGCTGGGCAGATCCGGATGGTCTCACCCGGTGGGAGGTACCGAGGCGTCTGGGACGCTCCACTCTACCTTAAGCTCCTGAGGGGCGCGTGGTTTTAACCACGTAGTACGACTACAGCCCACCACAGACACCCTCCCTCTCCACACGTGTGCACACACCCTCACCCTCTCCCCTCTCCTCTCTCTCTCTCTCCTCTCTCTCCTCTCCTTGTCTGTGCTGTCTGCCTGACTCAGGCACTAATTCTGCCGATGCGTGATTGTGTGTGGGCTGCTCCGAGGGGGCCCTGTGCGATCCGATGGGTAGGGGGTCTGTGCCCGGGCGGTGTCCGGTGCGGAGTCTCTCTCTGATCCCACCTGTGGTGTTGGGTGTGAGGTCGTGGAAGCTTCGATCCCAAGGGGGGGAGCCGAGCCCACTCATAACCAACTCTCAGGGGCAGTAGGTGGGCGAGCCTCGAGCGCGCTCATCTCGATCGTGAAGGCGTCGCTACGCGCGGTCTTCCGCGGGGGGAGCTTCGTCGACGGGTGCGGGAGCGCGGCGCAGTCAGTGCCGTGGCGATGCCTCCGGCTGTTTGCGGCGGGCGGCTTGCTGCTCGCTGCGATGGCGAAAAACTCGTCTCGCCACACGCCAAGGGCTTATGCTCTGGCGAGACGTGAGGCGCATGCGCCCAGGAGGGGAGGGGGCATGCGTAACGACACTGCTAGAGATGCCTTTCGGGGCCCAGAGATAAAACTTCTGTGATGCCATGCGTGACCTAGTAGTGTCCCCAGCTATGGGCGTGTCCACGTTGGAGCCAGGTGTGGTGTGGGCGCGAGAATAGCTCCGCCGTTCATGGAGGCAACCGTTGCGAGTCGACTGGTGTGTGTCGTCGTGGTTTCGTATCAAGAATTCTCTCTCTCGCTGGAGCCGAGCTGGAGGGCCTGGCGCACAACCCCTGTGCACTCACTCTCAGCACTGAGGGTCCTTCCCCCGTAGTCTCCCGCTCTCCCCCCATCCCCAGGGCGTGGCAGATTGCCAAAGGAACGCCGGCGATTCGGTGCGTGGCTTCGGCTAGTTCCATTTCACTGTGGCACAGCTCGCGTTACAAAACCTTGATTTGACCATTTGCGCAAAAAGGTACATCTCGGTGCCTTCCAGAGCAGTGCGACCCGCCGAGTGACGCGCA